CCTCCCTCCTCTATCTCCTCCCCCATCTCCTCACTCCCCTCCTCTATCTCCTCCTCTATCTACTCACCCCTCCTCCATCTCCTCACCCCTCTTCCATCCCCCACCCCGTGCCCCCACCTCCTCTTACTCCTGTGTCCCCCCACCCACCTGTGAGGGCAGATGCTGCAGCTTGACCCTCGATGCGCAGATGGCCCTGCCGGCCACTTGGCGCCCAGATGCCGTCCGCAGCTGGGTCAGCCTGTGCTGCAGAGTCCAGGGAAGCTCGTCCTCGGGGGGGCCCTGATAAAGGGAGGTCAGGGCAGGCTGGGGAGGGTGGGGATGTGAAGGGGGTGCGGGGTCCTGGCACTGACCTGTGGGGGCGCCGAGTGGCAGCGCCGCAGCCCTCCCACAAGCGCCATCTGCTTCTCGAGGTGGTAGAGCCAGCGGCCCAGCTCGGCCTGGCTGGGGCAGAGCACCAGGAGTGGGGCGGGCAGCGGGCCTGTGGATGGGCGGTGGCAGAGTGGGCTGGGCTAGCAGCCCACAGCCAAGGCTCCTCCCAAGGGCTCCTCCCCATCCCCAACCCAGGTCACACACAGCTCTGGAGATCCCCAACCCGCTGCCCTCAGCCCAGTCCAGTAAAGGCACGAGTGCCCGTCGGAGGAAAAGCCAAGACCCCTCAATGTGCTCGGGGTCCCGCTAGTATCCTGGGGCCCGGCCAGAGGCCAAGGTCACTGAGCAGCACTAGCTCCCTCACCCTCCTGGGGTCCCAGTCCACTCATGCCCCCCACACACCTGTGATCTGGAAGGCATGCTCTCTGGACCCCTCTAGCGGGCAGACACTCAACTCCATCAGTGGTAACAGCCCCTGCCAGAGCACAGAGGGGAGGGTAGGGCTGGGGGACCCCCAGCAGGACGTGGCCACTCTCCTCTCCTCCAGCCTCCTCCCTCTGCCCAAGTCCCCTCACCTGGAAAGTGAGTCCTTTGGAACCATGGGCCTGGAAATAGAGGTGTGACGGGAACAGCTCCAGGTAGCAGTCGCTGGTGTCCTGGAGGAGAGCGGGGCGGCGTCTGAGGGGCTGGAGGCAGGCCCCAGGCTAGTCCCCAGCACATTCCGCCCAGCTTGGCCCCCACCTGGCTGTGCTGAAACCGCAGCTGGACCTTGGCGTAGTGCACGACCTTGCCCAGGGTCCGCACGGGCACCCTCCGCCGCCCCTTCTTGAACACGCTCAGGAACGGCTGCTCCAGGTTTTCTCGCTGGCTCTCCAGGCTCTGAATGTCCTGTGGGGAGCAGGACTCAGAGGAGGGGCCAGACCGGGGCCAGCAGCCCCAGCCTACGGACACACCCCCCCAGTCACATGAGACACAGGTTAAGAACACACACACCATCACACATACGTACAGAATCTACACATACACACACCCTCTCTGCCGGTCAGTTACGTGGTCTGGTGGTGGACACGGTGAGGTTTGGACTCAGTGGAGATTCAACCCATATTTTTGCCATTTCTAAATTGTGTACCCTTGTTTTGGTTACTCAACCTCCCAAGACTTGTGGGTCAGAGGGGTTTTCAGGCGTCTGCGTGAGACAATGCTCAAAACCCTCTGGTGCATGTGTCTGCTGGTCCTATAAAACGCAGGGTGTAAATACTCCTGCCGTGGTCCATTTCAAGCTACTGATGTGACATCAGTATATGTGGAGCTGGAAGAGATGCATCGGGCTGGCTCTCGAGAGCCAGTGCTAGCCACCCCAGCCCCATGTGTGCCCCTTGACCTCGCTCGTGGTAAAGGCCAGGGTCCTGGAGGTGGTCCTGCGTGATCTGCGCCCCTTCCTTCCTCCCCTCACGCCAGGCACACGCCTATCTGTGTCTTTGCTTTCGCAGTTCCCTCTGCCTGGAACACTCAGCTGAAATCCCTTCTCACCCTTTGGGGCTTGGCTCAGACGTCACCTCCTCCGTGAGGTCCTGTCTGGGCACCTTCTAACCTTCTGACCTTCCCTGAGCCCTCTGCACACATTTCCTCCTTTACTTTCCTCCTTAGCGATAGCCACATCTGGCTTATTATATCTTCTACTTGTCTTGTCATCTGACTCTGCCACGGGGATGGGAACACCACGAGAACAGTGCCTTTGTCTGTTTCGCCCACCGCTGTATCCCCAGAGCCTAGGACAGGCCTGGGATATCTGCTGAAGGGAGGGAGGATCAGTGCTCACAAACACCTGGCCAGCCCTGGCACAGAGAACCCTTTATACAGAGGGGCTTGGTCATCAGATTGGACTCGGAGAGAGACAGGTGCTGACCTGGGGCTGAGGACCTGAGGGCCAGGGTCTCAGGGCTGAGTTGGGGAGGGGGCCACCCTCCCTGTGGGAGCTGGCAGGGGCTGCCTCTCAGGCTGCTGTGCCCTGGCCAAGCTGAGCCGCCCCTTGGGCAAGCCCAGGAATGTGAACAGACAGACACACAGCGTCCCGGCCTCCCTGCCTCTGGGTGGGGCCTCCAGTACCCACACCCAGAGCACCACAGGGCAGGGCCCAATGAAAACTGGCTCCTCCCCTGACCCCTCCCTCTCAAAGTTCAACATGCCTGGTCCCCTCTCCAGCCACCATGTCCTGGCAAGAGAAGACCACCAGGACCACCATGCCTCATGGAACTCCACCAGGGTCACATGATGTGTCCTGGGCCTGGACAGAGGGACTTGAGGTCTGGGATGCAGCCACATGAAGGACCTCATCCCGGCCAGGCCAGGCCCTCGACGGAAGTGCCCTGTCCACGTCTCTGAGGCAGCATGGTTTCTGAAGACAGCGTTTGCTCACAGGGAGCCCTGGGACCTCAGAGGCCAGGAGAAGGGACAGGCCCGCCAGCCCTTCCCAGCCTGACAGCAACACATTGAGAAGGTGGGCTCTGAAGCCCACACTAGCTGCTAGGCCTCGAGGGGATGGTGTGAGGACCGAGGAGTGCAGGGCTGGAGCTCCTGGCACAGAGTCACAGCCGTCCCTCCTTCCCCGTCCTCTCCCTGATGCTCCTGGGGTAAGAAGCTGCGGGATCATTTTGCTCACATCCTGGTGCCTCCGCACATAGCAGAGCCTCACCTCAACCCAGTGCAGCCATGTTGGGGAAAGGGCTGGTTGTCTCTCCCCCTCAGCTAACCCTTAGCCCCACAGGAGCGGAGGCAGGGTGGGTGGGGTGGTATTCAGCTCAGAGGTGGCCTAGCATGGGCTCGGAGCCACGTCCTTGCCACGTGGCCTTGGCAAGGGGAGACGGGGGTGCTGTGAGATGAGGCATGATGGATGTGGAGAAGACACCCCCTGGCAGAAACTGAGGCCTGGAGTAGGTGAGAGGCTGGCTCACTGTTCACGTGAAGCCCCTCACCCTCAGAGTGACAACGGGGGGTGAAGGTTCACAGCTACACTGCCAGCACGACACGGGTGCCCACACAGCAACACTGAAGTACGTGAGCTTGGTCCAACTTGAACATGCCTGTTCCTGGGGGGTGGGCAGACACCAGGGCTGGGGCCCCACAGAGATGGCTCTGAATGCATGGCCTGGCCATGGCGCCCCCTCTGGTGCAGCAGAGACTCCTGGAGGCCCCGCCCGCGGCCCGCCCCTGCCCAGTGCTCGCTCACCCCACTGACTCAGTGTCGGGTCTCAGTTTCACTCTCTGCTCAGACTTTCGGCCAGATGAGCTCCCCAGGGTGGGGCAGTGTCTACTTCCTCACCTTGTTCTGGGTTTGACTCCCCCTGGGCTGCTGGGGGAAGACCCTGAGCCAAGGCAAGATAGGACACGCACACGCAGTCACATACCGATGACCCCCACCGCACCCCCTCGAGGCCTCGCTCCAGCTGGGACACGCCCACCCGCCCGCTCACCGTCCCAGGGATGTAGTAGAAGATCTTGTCGGCAGTGGTGTCCCCGTCGGGACCCGCCTCGGTGCCAAACAGACCAGCCAGCTTCCTCGCACCATCCTCTCTGGGGACAAGGGAGGGGGGCTCACAGCCTGGCCCCCAAGGCAGGTTGAGGGCGACCCTGTGACCCAGAGGCCGAGGCCGTGCTCCTGCCCCCCTCACCTATTTCTCTTCAGCGAGGGCTTTCTGGAGAGGGAGGCCCGGAGCCTCCGAGGCGGCTGAGGGACGCAGTGGCTGTTTCCCATGGGTGGCGGTGACTGCTGCCCCAAGCACAGCAGGTCGACGTCTGGGTCCCTCTGTCCTGAGCCTCCTGCCCCCACCTCCTGGGGCGGGGCTCTGGGAAATCTCGCCCTGTATCCAAGAGCTGGGGAAGGGTGGAGCCTTTCTGGGAGGAACCTGGCCCCTACCTGAGCCGAGCCGTTCAGTGCTCTCCCAAGTCTTTCACACGTGCAGTCCAGCCTGCCTCTCAGCCCAGTCAAGAGCCCCCAACTCAGCTGCCAGTCTGTACGGGAAGGGCCTTGAACACCTAGCCTGGGAGTGCGTGGCCTGCCTGCACTCGGCCTGGGGGGTGCCTGGGGCTGGAGCTCCCTGAGTCCAGGGACCCCCTTCCAGGCCTCACCGGCGTGAGCACACATCCTGTTTCCACCTAAATGCCGTCTCTGAGTCAGCAGTGACTGTAAGGGGGTGTGTCCTTGCTCTCAGCCTCAGAAGCAGGAGTTTGCAACATCAGGGAAGGGGCCAGAACCCTCTCCCAGCCTCCTTTCCCGCCCCGGCCCAATCCTCACCCTGAGCCAACGTCAGGGTCCCCGAGGCTTACCCAGAATCAGGAAGGAGACCACAACCCTCCCAGGTACACCCAGGCTGTCACGGTGAAATGGGAAGAATGCCATGCATGCCACCCTCCCCAGAGCCTGAGGTGAGCCAGGGGACACAGGAGCCTCTCAGGACCAGGCTCATGCTCACGGTGGGCGCTCATCCAGAACATCACCAGCCCTGCCCCACCTGGACATCACAGTGCTGCCTCAAAGCCCCCAGATGCCAATGCAGCGCCTCAACCCAGCTGCAGACCCACCCCGGGGCCGTCCCGATCAACAAAGACAGCACCCTGAAAGGTGGAGATGGACACAGCCTCAGACCCAAAGAGCCCAAAACACATGTTTATTGTTCAAGTCAGCTCATATTGCTCTGTGTAGTCTGGGGCACATGTGTGCCCAGCTCAGTGCAGAATCCAGAAAAGACACCACCCTCACGGGAAGAAAGCCCAATTTGTGCCCTCCCCGGGAGCGGGCCTGGCTGGGCAAGAAAAGGGCGGTATGCAAAGTGCAGGCTGGGGGGTCTGCCTCCGCTCAGAAAGCCCCCCCACTAACCCTGGCTGCTCTGCATCTGCTCGTTGGTCCCTACAGGCCTGCAGAGTCGGAGTTGGCCCAAATGTCCACCCGCATCGCTCCCTGTGCCCCCATTGGGGTGGGAGGACACCCTGGAGGGCAGCTTGGTCCCAGAGGCACAGGACACTTTGAGTAAACATATAAACTGGCAGCTGCAGCACTGCTCGTCAGTCAATAAATAATGAATAAATAAATGAGTAAATAAATAAACTGCACACACAGAAACTAACTCTGAGGAATGAACACAAACGGTGGCCTTGACGCAGAGACGCGACAGACGGCGCAGGACGCCCCCGGGGGGACTGCCCCGGGGGGCTTAAGGCATGTGGAAGGCCTTGGGCTGGCCTCTGTGCAGACCGCACCACGGGTCAGAGGCTGGTGGACGACACGGACAGCGTGGGCGAGGAGGGTGGCGGGAAGTTGAGCAGCTCAAGCACCGCCACGCCCACGCTGCTGCGCCGCGTGAACATGCAGGACGCTGCCACCCACTTGTTGGTCCTCGGGTTGTACTTCTCAATGGAGTTGAGACTGGAGCTGCCGTCGTTGCCCCCCACGGCGTACAGCCAGCCGTCCATGGCCACCAGGTCGTGCGTGCTCCTGGGGGCAGGGGGGCGGTGGGCTTGAGTGGCAGGGCGGGGCCCCCAGGCCATGGGAGGAATCTCTGGAGTTGGGTTGGGGCATGGAGCTGAGGGAGCCCAGGAGTAGTGGGCAGGGGGCAGGGGATGGAGGGGTGGACACACCCCACAGTGGTGAGGCTGTGGGGCACATATGTCAGTGTGTGGAGGGGAACACCACGAGGGGGACACGACTGGCCAGTGGGGTGGGGCTGGTGCACCTTCGGATGTTCATGGGCGCCACACTCTCCCAGGCACCGGCCTTGGGGCTGTATCTCTCCACCGAGTTGAGGCAGCTGGTGCCATCATTGCCACCGGCCACGTAGAGGGCCCCCTCCAGCACTGCCACACCCGCAGAACTGCGCCGGCTCAGCATGGAGGCCACGGGCGTCCATGCGTTCACCTGCAGTCGACGGGATGGGATGGGGGCAGCCCCATCACAACCTCTCTCCACCTCCATGGTGCAGACCCCTACTCCAGGGCAGAGTGCTTGTGGGATGGGGGTGGGATGTAAAAGGCTGACCCTCAGGGGACGTGGGTGGCCAAAGTGATGACCTCAAACAGCTCTGGGGAATAACCGTGACAGGGGCGTATTTCCCACCTGGGGTTCATACTTCTCCACGGTGGCCAGGTGTGAGGAGCTGTCGTAACCACCCACGGCGTACAGGTTCCCATCTGCAGAGAGTCAACAAACCCATGGTGCACCTGTTGGCACAGGGTCTCAGGTGGCAGGAAGGGTGGGCACTACATGAAGCAGGCCCCGTCACCCACCGAGCATGGCCACGCGCACGTATCGTCTCCGGGTACTCATGGCGGCAACAGACGTCCATGCTCCCATCAGGGGGTCGTAGCGCTCGGCACTGTGGGCATCAGGACCGCCGCTGACCTTGAGCAGTGGCAGAAAGGCTGTCCTGGCCCCTGGACCTGTCCTCCCCATGGCAGGACTAGAATCCTGTGCTGGGTAGTCATGGAGACTGACCTGAGTCTCCCTGGAACAGGAAGCAGGGCCTGCTGGGTAGGCACTGTCCACCTGGGCCCAGCCCTGGACTGGTGGGAAGGACCCCAGAGAGGAAAACGGGGCAGCTGGGCTGGCACATATGAGGAGGCCTGGGGACCCTGGTGACTCCAGTCAGGGGGAATCCCCCTTTGCTCCCCTCAAGCGTGACCTCTGCAGTCCTGATGCAGCCGTACCTACTGCGGAGCCAACCCCAAAAGGCCACCCAACCCTGACCCCAGCCACTACCTGTTGAGGCAAGAGGCCCCATCGTAGCCACCAGCTGCATACAGGAGCCCGTGCAGGGCAGCCACGCCCAGGCAGCTGCGCCTCGTGCCCATGGACACCTCTGGCTGCCAAGTGTTGGTGACAGGGTCGTACGACTCTACGGTGGCCAGGTCTGAAGTCCCGTCGTAACTAGGAGAGGGGTCCGCTGCCGGTCAGGAGTGGCCTGGAGAGCATATGCCGAGCCCCTGCCCTGAGAGTGTCCTCCACACTTACCCGCCCACAGCGTACAGCCGGTTCCCGACGGCTGCGACGCCCACTCGGGCCCGGCGTGTGGACATGGAGGCCACCACGTGCCAGCGGTCACTGCGTGTGTCATATGCTTCACAGTCCCCGTGGATGGCGAATAGGCTCCCACCACCTAGAAAAGAGAAGGTGAAGGGCAGGAGAAGAGACCCAGGGAGGCAACGGGCTGGGGGCTCTGGCACAGCTCGAGGTCGAAGGTGTGGGGACTCCAAGGGCGGTTGGGGACAGGGACTAGGGAGTAGGTCACACTACACAGGGTCCTCCGTGGAGGAACAGAGGAGCAGGAGTGGGGTGGGTGCAGGACGTGACCAGCACAGGGTGGAGGAGCTTGTGCTAGGCTCACGGAGAGAAGACGCAGCGCAGAGACGTGGGGGCTGGACAGGAGAGGACGGGAGAAGTGGGCATACCCACAGCGAAGAGCACGGGGCCAGCACCCTCACAGCGCCGGGGCCGTGTGCGGCTAGTGCCCAGCACGCCCCTCTGCTCGGGCAGCAGGTGGAACTTGAGCGCCTCGATGAGCAGGTCCTTGCAGTCAGGGTGGTGCCTCACCAGGCTCTCGGCGTCCACGTGGCCCAGCAGGAAGTCCCGGCTCAGCAGGGGCAGGCGCACACACTTCATCAGCTGGGGTAGGGGTGCCACAGTCAGGTGGCAGGTGGGACGTGTGGCCACACTTGGCCCCGGCACCGAGACCACCCTCAGACACCCTGGACCCTTCTTTAGGCACATGCCTGTATCACCCAGTAGAGTCTCTGGACAGAGGAGCCCAGACACACCTAGGCTCTCGGCCACTGCATCCCCCCCTGGACACCATGGGACCACCCAGGGCCTGGCCTCACCCGAGGGACATGCTGCCGCCGAGCGTCCACGTCATGCTTGACCCAGCTCAGGACGGCACGGTAGACGTCCTCTTCTGAAGGCACATTCAGGTTGTCGCTAGAGACCAGTTCCAGCACCTGCGGGTGGGGACCCTGAGACCTGAGATTTGGGGAGGACCTTGGGGGCCCATGGAGCCCTAAAGGTGCCTGGGAGGGAGAGTCCAACGAGGGGCCCACTGTTCCTATGAGGAGGGACCAAGCAGGGTTAGGAGCCACAGATCTGGTTCCTGGGGATTTAGTCCAGAGCAGTCCTGGGCACGTGGAACGAGAAACTGAGGATTGTAGGCAGAGGTGTACTCAGAACAGAATGGGGTCAGGAATCAAGGGTGAAGGCTTGGGTGGAGTCAAAAAATGGGGCAAGGGCGGAGGAGCCCAGAGGATGGATGGTAGGGCTGGAACATGGGTCAGAGACTGGGAATAAGAACCGAGGAGCAAAGGGACAAGTCTTAAGGGCCCAGGGGAAGGGGGCCGGGGGTCAAGGGCTGGGTCAGGGTCCAGGCTATATTCTAGCTGGCATTACCTGCTTCAGCGGCAGCAGCATGAATTCCTCAGTCTTGGCCACATCCACGAAGTGCTGCAGAACGTACCTGTGTGCCGCCTTGAGCAGGTCACTGCATGAGTGCGTGTCGGCGAAGCCTCGGATGCCCAGACAGTTGGAAGGATCAAGCTGACTCAGCAGGAACTTGCAGCAGGCGTCACGGACGCCATTCAGCTGCAAGAGGCTAGCGGCTGGGAGCAGAGTCTGTGGGTTGATATGGGAAAGAGAGCCGGGGGAGCAGGGACAGAGAAATGAGATGTGAGGAACTCAGGGGATGGAGAGAAACACAGGGGGCTGCTGGGGACGCAGGGAGAGCTGAGGCTTGAGGCCCAGCGGGGAGCGGACTGAGGGATGAGGCGGCTCACCTGCACGTTGCCTTCGCCCACCACGATCTCAGCTGTGTACGCAAACTGCACCAACTGGTCCAACGCCTGAGGATCGATGTCATGCAGTGTCACGTGTGTCTGGCGACTCTCACTCATCTCATCTGTGGGGACAGTGGGTCAGGCCGGTGCCCGCCCTGGGAGATCACAGAGCGCCCCCAGTACCAGACGGGAGGGGGTGGTACTTGCTTGTGAACATGGCATGGAAGTAGGGGCTGCAGGAGGCCAGCACCACCTTGTGTGCCCGGATCTCCTTGGCGGCCACGTGCAAGACGATGTCACACAGAAGGCCTCGCTGCCGCATGCGGCTCATGGCCACGAAGGCATCGTGGTAGTGCCGCTTGGAATTGTGGGACACAGTGTGGCCCTCGCGGCTCAGCAGCTGCATTGCACCCTCCATGGGGGCCGTGGGCCGGGCCTGCCGTGGCCGTGCACGCTCTGCCTCAGGGCTGCAGATGGGCAGAGCCAAGTCAGGGTGCACTGTGCAGGGAGCTGCTCACCCACCCCAGACCTCGGGCAGAGTCAGGGCACCCGGGAGGCCACCCCTCCCCTAGCGGCCCAGACCTGGCTTCCATCAAGGACCAGCACTCCAGCACCACCTCCCCTGCCGCCTGGGCCCCACCCTACTCTGCTTCCTTTGCTCCAGGGAGCCTCCCTGGGGTCAACAAGACTCCTGCAACAAACACCTGTTCCCCGCAAGAGGCGGGAAGACGCACCTGATGCCCACTGCTGAACCTGTACAGCTTCGTCTGCCACAACTCCTTTATGGCTCCACACTCCTCTCTGCCCAGGCGCCCCCACAAGAATCAGGCTTTCTCTGCCCTCCTCGGAACCAGGCTCTCCTCTGTCCATCCCTGGCCACCCTTCCCGTGCCCCCGCCGGAGTCCCACGTCCTCATCATAGGCTGGGCACACAGGAAGTGCACGAAGTGAAACTGGTCAATGCTGTCCTGCGGCTCTGAAGCAGACCCCTACGCCCACCAGCACGGCTGACCTCACTTAATTCTCCGGAGCGGCGCCACCCCCCACACCCCCACTCTACAGACAAGTCACCGGAGCCTTGACCGGCGCGGCCGGGATTCAAGGGCGGCGAGAGGGGACACAGCCTCCGGGAGCAGCCACCCCCAGACGCCCTGCCCCGTGTCCGCTGTGTGAGGGTAAGCGGAAAGTGTTGGACCTTCCACCGGTGGGCCGAGCCTGCGGGGCGCCGAGGCCACCCATTCCGGGCAGCCTGCCAGGGTCGGCGCGCGCCCTCCCTCCCTCCCTTCTCCCCGGACCCACTCGGCCCCTGGCCCGGCTCAGGGTCCCCAGCCCTCCGGCCC